TATTTTTAATTTAAATACTCACAGGCACTCTCACATGCGATTTATATGCGTCTCTGATAACTATTCTTTAATATTTTTGCTGGTAAGGTTTGTTTTTAATCGACTTCCAAAAATAATAAAAGCTATTTGTACTCTTTTCCAGAGAGTTGTGAAAATGTGAGAGGTGAAATGTGTGCCAACTCTTCTACGTGGCAAGTTTTGAGTTTTAATGTGAAATCATAAACTTATGCAGTAAACATGATCGTCACACTGCACCACACTAACGTTACTCCTGTAACAGTTACACTTAGAGCCCAAACCGGTTTACACCATAACATGTGCTGGTAATCTGTAAGAGAAAACACCTTCTGTCGAAACCTCTGTAAATATGATGCGAGAAGCTAAATATCCCAAAGCAAATCGAACTATTCACAGAATAACATCGTTACACAACGCATGTCTAGGCCTAGATCTTTTCGAGGAAGTAACGTTACGTGGTTTCGTCGCTGTGTTTGTAACACACTCACCTGTGTGGACCCGTATCTGTGGATAGTTTCTCATAAAGCGGATCTCCATCTGGTTCCATTACAATTGTGTAAAGATGTTTCTGCTTTCATAAAAGTCCAATATAGGCCGATGAATTATACTTTCACTTTGATGGACAACACCTGTGAAAAGGGGAGGAGCGGGGTGTGGATGGGGCGCTGTTACGAGATTTTCGGTTTCAGTGGGCAAACATGAATATTCATGAGTTTCCCGGACATGAGCGTGGAGCCAAGTGGAACTGAGAATTTCAGTTCACGCTCCTTGTATCTCAGCAGGTTTAATGGGATATATATATATATATATATATATATATTTTTATTTGTGCTCTTCATTTGTAGCTTGCGATGCTTTAAAACTTTGTCTGTTATTAGTTATCATTTGTTGAATACATCACTGCCTGCAACAAATGAAATAAACCTATATAAACGTATCTGTGGATATATATATATTTGTATTCTGGTGTGATGATCCATGTCTTAATTTACCCCGTTCAACATTCTCCATGTTGTCTGGTTGTGAATTGTCTGCTGTCTGTTTGTAAACTATACGATACAGTCATACAGTGCTGCAAAAACATGTTGCTGAAATTTCTTTCTTTTTTTATGTTTCCAATGTAAAATAGTTAAACATATTTACAAACAAATGTAAATTTGCCAATTAAGATTATCACAAGGTTTATGGTTCCATTTGCACAGTGAAACCAACAATCACAGAACACCTGGATGATTACAGCTACAGGTTCCCAATAGTAGCACAGATCCAACTACCATTTCAATTATTTTTTTTTATGCTCTTCTGTTATCTTTTAAGTTTTAAAACTGTCATCTTCTGGCAATGAACGAAATAACATTCACCACCATATCAGTGGCCTAATAAACATTTTGCAACCTACACTGATGTTATTCTGTGTCATCTGTTCTTTGACCATGTGTTGCACTGTACCTGGATGATACACGATGATCATTGATACAAATGCATGTTTTATTTTGATGCATAACAAACACTCATGCAACATTATTTATAGGCTAAGTCATAAAGTTTCATAAACATATATACTCTTATTTAGGCTTTTTTTCTACATAAACTGTTCCCTCCTGCTGGAATGACCTGCCCAACTCAATCCGAGTCCTTAGTCATCTTCAAGAAACGGCTAAAACACATCTCTTCCATCTATATTTGACCCTCTAACTCTAGCACTCTCTATTCGTTTTCCAACTGTTTGTTTTCTTTTTAAAAAAAAGCCTCTAACACTAGCCTTCTCTATTCTTTTTCTATTCAATCTACTTGTTTTCTTTTTGTTGTGTATGTATGTGTAAAGCCAAGCGTCTGCTAAATGATGACATAAGGGCCTCTAAATATAAAAAAATAAAGTGGAATAAAGGTTGGATTGTGGCCTTGATTAGCTTTTGATGAGATGTTTGTAAAATGTGTGTTGGCGTGAATGTATGATTTTATGTGAGACGGTGACATTTTGTTTTTAAAAATATGAATTCAATAGTGATTCACACTCAAAATCCAGGAAAATTTTAGTAATGGAGGATGCTATTAATAAAGTAAAATTTTCCTGAATTTTGAGCATGAATCACTATTGAATCCTTGTTACAAACTAAAAAGATGTAAGCACCAAAACAAGACAACATAGGAGACAAGAGAGTGTGATGTTAACATCCTTGTAGAATCTGCTGTATAAAAATTGGACATAATAAAACTAAAAAACAAACAATTCTTCACTTGATTCTGGCATTTGATACATGACATTACCATTCAAACGTTTGGGATTACTGATTCTTTTTTTTTTAAGAAATGCATATTTTTGCTCTTCAAGGATGCATTAATTTAATAAAAATGACAGTAAAGACATTTATAATGTAAAAAAAAAGATTTATATTTCAAATAAATGAGGTTCTTTTGAACTTTCCATTCATCAAGGAATCCTGTCGCTGTATGGTTTACACACTTCATTAAGCAGTACAACCATTTTCAACTGTGATAATAATCAGAAATATTTCTTGTGCAGTAAATCAGCATATTAGAATGATTTCTGAAGATCATGAGACAGTGAAGAGGAGAAGTTGAGATCTGACATCACAGGGGAAAAAAACTTTATTTTAAATTGTAAACTTATTCCACAATATTCATGTTTTTTTATATTTTTAATCTCATGCAGTTGGTGACATGAACAAAGAACCTTACTAATACAAATCCTTAGGACAGTATATACAGGTGCATCTCAATAGATTAGAATGTCGTGGAAAAGTTCATTTATTTCAGTAATTCAACTCAAATTGTGAAACTCGTGTATTAAATAAATTCAATGCACACAGACTGAAGTAGTTTAAGTCTTTGGTTCTTTTAATTGTGATGATTTTGGCTCACATTTAACAAAAACCCACCAATTCACTATCTCAACAAATTAGAATCACAAGGACACTTATGAACATTTGTTAATGAAATTAATTTTTAACATGAAATGAGTTTCTTACTCCATTCCATAAAATGCAGTGAAGTATTTGTTTTCTCATTTACAGTGTACACAATATAGGCTGCTTTTAAAACTTGTATCCATACAATTTTGTTTAATCCAAAATTGTACTTATTAAAGGAACACTTTCATGCTTGTGTGTGTGGTCTTAGATTCCTATTCATTTTGTAAATACAGCCTAAGCCTAAAAGTTTAAGAACAATCACACCACGATAGATGAAAATCGATCCACAAATACAAGTTTATTTCAGCTGTTGTATTTAAATTTTAAATGAAAACAACTAACAACAGACACAGTTTTAAAGTATTGCAACAGCACAACGAACTGAAATCAAAGTAATTTACAACTAGCTTAAGTGTGCTGAATGCCTGCAATCATTCAGTCAGTGATGACTGCACAAATCGTGCAAACTAATGAAAACATTATAAACTGTTACAAAATGATGAACAAATGTAGTTTAGGCATAGGTTTGTGCAATTCTCAGTTCCACTTGGTTCCACGCGCATGTCCGGGAAACTCATGAATATTCATGTATGCTCCACCCACTGAAACAGAAAATTTCGTAACAGCGGCCAAAAGTGAGTTTTTCTGGCTTTATGAGGACAGTTTAAACAGCACGTTAGAGCTGACAAAAAGATTCCCCTTCAATGGCCCACAGTTGATCTACTTTCTTGCACATTTGTGCGTCGAACTTCTTTAAGAGATGGACATGTGTGTCAGTAAAACCAACAGAAATGGAAACAACAAAAATGCAGCTTCTTCTTCTTCTTCTTCTCTAGTTTAATGGCGGTTGGCAAACCCACTTAAAAGGTGAATTTTCGCCACCTACTGGACTGGAGTGTGGAGCATGACGTATCTTGGGGACAATGTATAATTTAAAAAAAAGGAAAAAAAGGAAACCTTTTGTCCAAAAGAGTATTACCCAAGGATATAATTATTTTATATACTTCATTATGTGATCTTCAAATTCTGTTGCTTTCAAATAATTAATAATTGCATTATAGACTTTATACAGTGCTGCTGGAGCATTCTATAGTATTGTCTTAATTGTTATACTTTCAATATTCAACAAACTGAATTCTTCTATTAATCGCATTCTTTCTCTTTCATATGCTTCACAGTGTAATGTGATATGTTCCACAGTCTCTGGTATACCACATTTATAGCAATTGCCTGATTCATGTTTACCAATAATACATAATGATTGATTAAGAGCTGTGTGACCAATACGGAGTCTAGATATTATTGTGTTCTCCTTCCTACTTCTGAAGTTTTTCCTTCCATTTCCAACTTGTTTTTGAATGTTGTATAGATGCCGACCCTTTACCTCCCCATCCCACATCTTTTGCCTTTCCCGGACCTGCAGCTTTCAGAAAGTACTGGTGTTTGTTACTCAGCTCCGTGCTGCTCTCTGCAGGTCAGGTCCTCCTCATACTTGTTACAGTCTAGTAGTATGTGTTTCACTCTCTCTTGTACATTACAGTGGGTGCATAATCCAGTGGGGTGTTTTCATGCCGACCCTTTACCTCCCCATCCCACATCTTTTGCCTTTCCCGGACCTGCAGCTTTCAGAAAGTACTGGTGTTTGTTACTCAGCTCCGTGCTGCTCTCTGCAGGTCAGGTCCTCCTCATACTTGTTACAGTCTAGTAGTATGTGTTTCACTCTCTCTTGTACATTACAGTGGGTGCATAATCCAGTGGGGTGTTTTCCTATTCGATGTTTTATTTAATCCAGTATGACCTATTCTAAGACGCGAGACTAACATCTCTTGCCTTGGGCCTCTGTCCTTCCTCGTGCTTATGACTACTTGTTTTTGTATATTATATAAATGACGTCCTGTATCATCAGCTATGTCCCAATATTCCTGCCACATTTTTGAGAGAGTGCTCCTTTATGATGGTTTTGACCTCTGCTCTACTCCGTGGTATTTGTTTTTATAGAGTTTTTTGCTAGAATATCCACAATCTCATTTCCTTCCACCCCTACATGGGCAGGAACCCAAAGGAAAGAGACGGACATCCCCCGATTAAGGAGTGTGAGAAGCAGATGGAATATTTGATAAATGACATCTTGTCTACATGACGTTTTCCCAGATTGAATGCTTTATAATGCTGATAAACTGTCTGAAGCTATAACGATACTTTGGTTATGATTATTTTCTTCCACCCATTGTAATGCCAGTAAGACTGCTACTAATTCCACAGTGAACACTGACAGTCTGTTGCTCTTTTTTTCTACTTCTTCATAACGATGAATGAAAAAAGCTGCATAAGTGCGGCCTGTTTCCGGCTGTTTTGATCCACCTGTAAATATGAATAATTCATCTTGATACGGCTTTAGTTTTGAACACTGTGGCATTATTTTTGAATTTTCTTTTAATATTTGTTGTAAGCTTGTATTTACAGATACATTTCCAGGGTGGTATCACTGATACTGCCACAGTGGGAACTGATTGAGACCTGCATTTTGTGCCAATGCGTTCATGATTTTACATAATGCAAATAATAGCCTACATTAAATATATAGTTTATGAATATTCCAAAATTCAGATTACAGTTGAACAAATAAGAGACTGTTATTGGACGCTACATCTTCTTATCCGAGAACTGTTAGGCCTAATCCC